TATTTCGACTCTGGCTGCCAAAGAAAAATGAGGCTAGTCCAGCAGCCATTTTATCAGTTTGAGAAATAGCTACCTCATGGAAAATCTATCACAAGGTTAATATATACCCATTAGAGAATAAGAATCAAGGAGGGGATTTCAATGCTTTCAAGAGGAACATTATTCAGTGGCATTAATTAGCAGAAAATTATTTCACAATTACAGCCTTACAACTGCATCAAAGCTGCTTATTATAAGATCAATGGAAGAGTAAGAACTGGTGTTGATCTGGTTTTTTGTATTATTTTTCCTTTCATGTTGTCTGCAAGGTTATAACTTCTATATAAGTCATTCTGAAAGAAAGGAGACAAATGTTTCAAATAAAATCAGTAGCTTAGTTGGTATTTATTTTCCTTTTGAAAATACCTTAACAATGGTATTATTACAAGAGTGGTGGTGACAAGGCATCTGAAATATATTATTCAACTCCTAGGATTCCAAACCAGATAGTGACCAAACAAATAAGAAAACAAATCCTTATACATAGGAAATGGAGAAGAAAATGTATTGTTGCAAATATGAGAAAGGAATCTAAATTCTTTAAAAGAGAGTGGGAAAGTGGCAGAAAAGAATAAAAATAAATGACAGATACCAAGAAAGAAACTTCGGCAATAGAGGAACTGATTTGCTAAAAGTTGTAGTGAAAGTTTCTGAAAATCTTGGAAAGCTGGTGAAAGTTGGCCTTCGATGTTGCAAGTATGGCCTTGGATTTTTTTCCAAAGGCACATCTCTTTCTTCACAGAAAAACAAGTTGAGTTGTTAGTTTTCAATGATGCAGTTACATATATTTTAGATCTAGACTTAATAAGTATTAATGAGGGGCTGGAATGGGCTGGACTTTGGAATTAAACACAACCCTGTAATAGAAAATAGCAATGTATTTTAAAAGAAAAATGTAAAGCAAGTGTTCAGAATGTGTACAGGAAAAACTGACTATCTGCTAATATTGTAAAGATAGACCTTATGTCCAGTCATTCAACAGCTGTTCAAAGTTACAATGAACTTAAAAAGCTACTTACAATCTGTCTTTGAAGTTACAACTTCTGCCCCACCCCTGTGGTCATGTGATTACATTTTGTGCACTTGGCAACTGACTTGCATTTACAACTGGTTGCATCCATGGTCATGTAACTGTAACTTGTGACTTTTTTTATTATCGTCCAGCAAAAACACACATTCAGAAGAATGGCTTCACTTAATAAGCATAAAATCATTGTAAAATCAAGTTGTGTAGTGCCTCAACATACCAACGCAATGACTTTCAACCAAAATTCTAGTCCCAGTTGTGACAGTAAATCAAGGACTACTTGTATTTTTAAAATAATTAAGAAAAGGATGCAGTAGCAAGTGGTAGTAGATCTTGTGCTTCCTGGCTTATCCAGATTGGCACAGAAATTGATGCTAGACCAGCCTAATTGCTGCCCAGATCACTTGCTGCCCTTGGAATCACTGAAGAGCTCCTTCCCCCATACCATAGATCAGGGGTCCCCAACCCCTGGTCTGTAGACCAGTACCGGGCCGCAGTATGCCAACAACGGTCTGCACAAACAAGCAAAGCCTCATCTGTAGGATGCAGGCAGCACACAAAATCACACACTGTCTGGTTCATGGAAAAAAATCTTTCTCCACGGAACTGGTCCCTGGTGCCCAAAAGGTTGGGGACTTCTGCCATAGATTATTTTCTCACATTTTTGCTAGTCTTTCCCTATCCAAAGTATTACATTCACTGAAAATTTAAGAGTCCATTAGGTTTTTTATTTTTGAAAAGAAAACTATGGTTAGTATAGCTCTTATCTGTTCTCCCCTTGGTTCCCAGTTTGGTGACAGCAGGTCTCCCAGACTTCCAGGGGAACTTTGGAGAGATAATAATGGTAGAATTCTCCAGCAGTTCCCATTGTCTGGCAGCAGATGCTGTAGACTTAATTATCTAATTGGGAGGGGCTAGCTCTATATTTGAAAGCCAGTTTGGCCTAGTGGTTAAGACATGAGTTCTAGTCCCACCTTAGGCACAAAGCCAGCTGAGTGACCTTTTCTCTCAACCCTAAGAAGGAAGCAATGCCAAACCACTTGTGAAAAAACTTGCCAAGGAAACTGCAGGAACTTTCTCAGAATAGGTTATGATTGAATGAAAAAAAGAGTCTATGTCTGTATAACTATGCTTTTATTTTATTGCATTCCACACTAATGAACATACCAGAACATGTGAAAAGCCCCCAAAGTCTTGCTAGCAAGAGACTCCTGGTAAAATTACAAACGAGCAGCCTTCACTGTCTCTCTTTTTCCTTCATAAAGGGAGAGAGAATATCACTAAAGCAGATCCTTGTGGGTTAATCTGCAAGCAGCTTCACCTGAGAAAAGGAAATTCTTATGTTCTAAGATGCAATGAACTTTGATTGCCATCACCATTATCACAATATGTTTTTTGTGCCTAAAATAAAAACTGAAAGCCAGGACAGTCAAATTCACCAGCAAATCCCAGCTATCTTCAGAAAAAGGCCCTGGCAGTACAGTCTTTAGAATGTAGTATTGTAGGCAAATTCTGCCCACAGCTTGGAGTTTGATACTGGACTCAAGGTTAACTCAGCTTTCCATCCTTCCAAGGTCGGTAAAATGAGGACTCAATGTCAGGTTCCAGCTGGAAAAACCCAATGAAGTAAAACATCGGAGACATGATGATCTCTCATGTAAACTTTATTAGGTATAACATGCCGGTAGAATAGAAGGAAAGCTAGCTCTGGCAATATGGTGGGAAACAGATGATTTAAAGAATGAAACTTTACATCTCCCTTCAAGTTTAGGTCACATTGTCCAATAAATCTTCCATCAATTGTTATGAGAAGAAAACTTCAGTTTGCCAAAACATCTCTTCTGCTGATTTGGATCTCACATTGATGGGGAACTCCCAAGCTCTTCCCTTCTCCTGCACAACTATTGGCAAGCTAGTCCTAATGACAAACAATGGTTTCATAGCTTGACATCCAGAATGTTAGGGACAATATGGTGATATTATAAACCACCAGAGAATGCTGTAAAGCAGTATGCGGTGGTACATAAATCTAAGTGCTATTGCTGTTATTTTTAGATCTAACTGGCTTTTGGCCAATTTGTCAAGGCAACTCCACACAACTAAGATTAGGGGTAGAATCTTCAAGATTGGTTGAAGTGATTGAAATAATTTATTTCCAGACTAAGGGGCAGGGTAACAAAAAATGAACCCCCTCCCCTCAGCATCCCCCCCAAAAATGTGCACATTTTTCATTTTTTGACAAATTAAGCAGACAAAATGTTGATGCATAAGGCACCAGTTTCATCAGTTAAAATTCTTGAAACCACCTTCCAAACCAGGTCTTGGTTTTACTCATTTCTGGAGAATTTCCATATCACAAAAAATCCAATACAGCCCCTGAGCCAACAGAAACTTATATTCTTGTGGAGTAAGAGTGGTACAAATGGTATTATAGAAAACCCAAAGGTGCTTTTTCCAAAAGGCAACTGGACTTTCTTGATTTTTAATTTGAAAACATTTTGCTTCTTATCCCAGAAGATTTTTGGATGAAGAAGTAAAATGTTTTCAAAGAAAAAAAACAAGTAAGTCCATTTGCCTTTTGGAAAAAACATCTTTGGGACAATCATGATCTGCATGACTGAGAATCTCCAGATATTACAGGGAGATGAATGAAGTACTATTCTACCCAGCAACATATGTGTAAAAGCAGAGAAGAGTATCAAGCCCAGCTAATAATAGCAGGAGTTTCACTTTTCACTTAAATTGTGTCTTAACCAAAATCAAAAAGTGAAGCTTTGTAAAATTTGGAAATGTTCATTTAGACCTTAGGTAGAATTAAACTTTCTCCAAGGCATTATGGATCTTTTAGCCACTATATCCAGAGGGCACCTGACTGGAGAAGTTTGAATTAGAGATCAACATCTTTCTATAACCTCTAAGCACTGAGGTTACTAATGAAATATTTTCACATTTTCAGGCAGATTAATTTTGGCTGGTAATAGATGTTTGCAAGCTGTTCTTACAGATATTTTATGCGAACCAAGGATGTATGTATCATCATTGCTGGAGTAGTGCCTACTAGATGTATTATGAACCCATGTCCTTTCTAATTTGTGAAAACTGTTGGAGTGGAGCTAATATGCTGGACCTTAGATATTGCTAACAAAGATGGTCTTCCAGCAGTATTCTTATCCTTATTCTTCTTATTAAAATTATTCATTAAATCTTCCAGAATGATGTAATTTCCAGCTAGGTTTGAGCAGACTATTATTTGTGCAAGATGACTAAGCCCCCTGTTTGAAATTGAAATTGTCATGATGACCTAAGACAAAAGAATAATTTCCAGGCAAACAATCTAATCATACCATATAAATTAATAGGAAATATAGCTGCTCATAACATCGAACAGGAATCTTGTTGGAATTATGTTCTACTGGTCTGAATTTTAAATAGAATACAGCATACCATTTTTCAGATTTACATCAGCTTGTCGCAATTTAGGAAAATTAAATTAATATTGAATTTGGTCCAAAGCAAGTTGCAATCTTCAAGTTTTAAATCCTTCCAAAATGCAATTTGCATCTCCCCAGAGAACTCCACAACACAGTCCTTTCAGTAGTTACAAGAAGGCTCCACACCTATTTGTACTACTCAGATGATCTTGAGGAAACAGATAAACCTCCAAGTGGCTCAGTGATTGTCTAAAAGAATGCAAATTACCATCTGTCCCCCAGGAATATAAATCCTGCCATTTCCCACCACCCAGTCAGAGCTGAAGAAGCTTCTTGGATAAGAAAAAAGTCCAGTTGCCTTCTGAAAAAGCATCTTTGGGACAACCATGACCTGGATGATTGAGAATCTCCATAGGCATCTCCTTAGAGAACAACCAATCCAAATTTTATCAGAATAAAAACCTGTTACCCCCATTATTTTGTCCTAGAAGCAAAGCGCTTCCTAAGTATTCCATAAATAAAGCAGATGAGACTAGGATTTACATTTTTTTTGAAAAATATTTTTTACAGTACATACAAAAATACTCTGCATACACTTTTTTGTTTCGATTATAATTTTTTACAAAAGCAGATAATACAAAATTTAAGATTTGAAAATAGTATTTACTTCTGGCACATCAGGTCATAGGCTCTGAAGGAAATATGGGTCTGGAAGAGTCAAGTGATCTTCTAGGGGGTGACATTGATTCTAGTGAAGTTGTTCAGAAAACTACAGAATTCAAACTTGGGTAAAACTCATGATTCTTCCCCAACATTACTAATCCCAGTTCACAGAAGATTAAAGAGCACTCATTCACAAGGTGGGCCAAAATAGGCAAAATAATTTTCCGAACTTTCAACATGAAAGAGAAAATGGATTCGATTTTGAGTTATGGTTTTACAAGGCCCTTTAACAATTCTGAAATTCAAGTAATAAACTACTTTGCTTGCATTCCAGTATTGTTGAAGATATGAGGCTCTTTACATTTTTATTTATAGATTAGCATGCAATCCAGCTAAACACTGAAGTATATTTCATTCCTATTGGTTTGAAATTGAAGTGTTGGATGTGTAGAGAGAAGCATCAAAGTTAAATTTATATCTCACTATTTTAGGGCTTTAATGCAACTGAACAATGACTGAAATTGTGCTCTAGTTTTCCTTTTGTGAGTCTCCAGGGGACGCAGCTTTTTTGCGGACATCTATGTATATCCCAAATGGATTGTATTTTTTAAAGGAGAAGCACCTCCAATATATACACACGTACTCCTGTGCATTATTCCACTTTACAAGAACCCCTATGGCAACCTGCTATGCAGATCACCAGCCAGCATTGCATACCACCAGACTGGATGTGGATTTTTGGGTTAAAACAACAGTGTTAAGAATATATTTAAGAGAGAGCTTCAGACTACCTGCACCCCTGTACTATAATAACATTGATAACAATAGAAATACACCAGGGCAAAGTACTCTGCATGCCAACCCCTTTAAGAAAAATAAAGGGGAGAATTTTTTTTTTTTTGGTTTTTCATAACAAAGACATTTCTGCTGAAAGAAGAATACAAGACTTTAAATAAAGCTATGCATTTGCACAGTGAAAATAAAGGTCCAATCCAAGGGAATAAACCTTACACTATAAGAATACCCACATACCACACATTTTGGAAGAATAGTAGTTTGAAATTTTTACAACAATTATGACAGTGTATCACCTGCAGAGACAAATCTACAGAAGATTAAGCCATTTTAAACAAGGATGGATACAATGCATAATGCCAATATTGGTCCACTTAGCACTGCCTTAACACCAGCTTGGATCAGTTATCCAGGAAGTTGGGCGGATGAGTTTCCCAGCTCTGATATGAGCTGACACAGACCGATATGCAAATCATAGGCTGTACCCTTTAGATGCAGTCTCTGTCTTCATTCTTTGCGTGTTGCTTTCTATTCCAATAGTATGGATACAGCAACCTTAGGATGCCTTTTAACACAAGAATATCTTATAGTACCGTTAATGAAAATCTTTTTTTCTTTTGAGTCAATATTTCAAAATTATGCATTTTAAACAGAAACGTATTATTTTCTTTTAAATTATAAGGTTTGCATATTGTTAGATTTATGTGCAAAAAAGAGGACAAGAATACATTTGTTGATCATTGTTGCTACAATCTCATTTCCTTATTTAGTGCCTTCCAGGACACCGTTTAGAAATTTTGGGAATTATTGTCTCTACACATTTGGTGAATATTGAGACATCTGATTTAAAGAAATTATGTTCCATACTGTAACAACTGTGCTGGGTATCTATAAACATTTCAATTATAATCAGGATTCCACTCAGTACAGCACAGTGTAGCTGGAATTTTGCATACAGGATAAAATTTCTTCTTTCTCACCCAACCACATCAATCTTTGTAGATGAGTTGGAAAAAAATCAAATGAGCCCTACAAGACAAAAAGGGGAACTAATTCTAGTACTAGATAATTGTTCTGATAGAAAGCTGGAGTGGATCAGGGAATCTTTTCTGTGAGTTAAAAAAAGTTTATAAGTGATTGTAGGCATGTCAAAGTTCAAAAGAGAAGCTTGAGCGTAAGGGTAACAACTGAAATAAAGAAGTAAGCAATAGTAATTAAAATACAATGTATTTACTATTACCTGGTAAGGCACTGCTATCGATTAAGAGTTAGTCTGATGGAGTTTTTAACAACACGAACCATACCACTTGCTGGAATTGGAGAAGATGAATCTGGCAATTCTTTACTAGAAAGCCTCTGCAAATGAAAACTAAAATCAGATGAGGGAAGCAAGATTCCAGAGATATGAGTACAAGCTTAGATCAAAGCAACAACTGACATCAATGTGTCATCTCCAGCTGTTCAGCTTTTGTAACTGCTTCTGAAAGGAGATGGTTGAGCTAAAGCTTTTAAGTTATAAACCAGTCTGGGAGTCTTTGCAGATGGGTGGCAACCCCTAAAAATTAGAATAATGTACAAATTATTCTGAATACTTCAGATTTGATAAAAGAAAGCACATGAGCTGCTGCAGCTTCATAATCCTGAGATCAGACATGGCTGTTTTAGTAACTCAGAGACAGATGCTCTGTACCCCAAAACACCTCTTCTCACTCAAATCTAAGTTACTGCACAGTCCTGTTATATGTAATGTCATTTCAGTGAGAGCAAATTACAAAGCATATAGGTGTATTACAGAACATAAAAATAAAATGAAAGCCACATAAATATTAAGGTCTTCAGACATTAGTTATTATCTCCATATTTGTTCCAAATACAAACATTCACTTAATACCTGTGATCTTTGTGTATCGAAGGTTGGAAGAGTCAGGGTGTCTTTAAGGCTGTGCTAAAAGGAAGAAAAACATAAGTTCATGGCTAAAATGCAAGGATTAGTGGAAAGCAGATACAAGCCATACTGACATCACATACATCATGATGTCATTGCACAAATGCTGTCATGAATTGCAACATTTAATTTATTTCACCATTTACTCTGACAAAGTAAAGTAGTGTTTCCCTTACTTCCCATCTTTGAGTCTTGACACTAATGACTAGCTTGATATTATAACAGAGCTGAATTTGGATAAACTACACCAAATTACTGAAGATTATGTAAAGCCAGGTTTAGCTCTTCATTTCCACACTTCAAAGACTTATCAAACATAAACAATCATCTTGTCACACAACACACATCATTCTGGTTTTTCATTCATTCTTTACTTCACTTCCCCAACATCTAAACTAAGATAATAATTCAAAAGGTAGGAATGTCTCCTGTATGTATTACCAGGAAACAAAATCTTTTTGTTTGATATAAATTATACAAACAGTTAAATTAGCTGTAAACCCCACTGAAGATGAGAGCAGATGAGGGGGAAGATAAGGAACATTACTTATGCCCATTACAGAGCTATAACTACTAAGATCTTCACCCTTATTAAAGTCTGACCAATTTGGATGTTTTTCCCAAGAGATCACAATCTCTATTTATAGTTACTCCAAAAATAACTTTCACTTAGTTTGAAGCTGTAGTCCTCAGCAGAGTTTTGTTATCAGTCATGTAACTGTTGTTGTGGTTCCAGATAATGAAACATTCCAAAGAACTTCCAGGCATTTATTTTCCTAAAAGTCTTTTATTGTTACAAAATGTTGGCACAGGCACAACGGAGGGATGCTAGGATCTAAGTTCTCTTCCTCTGAGCAGTTAAATTATCAGCATGTTCCCTCCCTAAATTAGCCGTCATATCTCACATTATCCAATTAGTGTGAAGGTCAAATGTTTTCTTCCTCTTTCTTTCCTGGGCTTTACCCCAACCCCCCTTCTGCTCTGTATTAACCCCATAATTACCAGACAATTCTACATATTGTCAAAAGCAAGAATATACAATATTTGCAGCATTGACATGTGTCCTCTTTGACAATCAATTTTAATACTCATGCTGCATTGGCACTTATGCACTGAGAAACTTACCTTGTCTACATCTTTCAGACGCTTAAAACAATCTTCAGAGATTGGTGAGTGATCTCTCTTATGTGCAGAGTTATTTTTAATAGAACTTATGCCATCTAGGTGTTCCCAGGAATGAGTAGAAGCCAGGGTGATAGTTGGAGGAATTATATTTTGCTCTATGGCCATGGAGACATTACCGGAACTTAAAGGCAGAGTTGTGTCTGCTGAAGCTGTAAGATTCAAGTCTACAAATTGGAGTAACATTAAGTTTTATTTAATGGTCCTAAAAAGAAAACTAGCTAATTTTGAAGTTAGTATACAAAAGAGCCAGTACCTGTCACAGACATGGCTGACTGACTGATGGTCCATGGTTTCTCTTGCCTTTCAAATATGGTAGATTTTTGAAGGACATCAGATCTGTGGAAAGCAGCACTGGTTAAGAAAAATTTATATAATACTAATACTAATAATAATAATAGTTGGAAGGGACCTTGGAGGTCATCTAGTCCAACCCCCTGTTCAGGCAGGAAACCCTACACCATTTCGGACAAATGGCTATCCAGTCTCTTCTTAAAAACTTCCAGTGTTGGAGCATTTACCATTTCTGGAGGCAGGTTGTTCCACTAATTAATTGTTCTCACTGTCAGGAAGTTTCTCCTTAGTTCTAGGTTGCTTCTCTCCTTCATTAGTTTCCACTCATTGCTTCTTGTCCTGACTTCAGGCACTTTGGAAAATAGCTTGATTCCCTCTTCTTTGTGGCAGTCCCTGAGATATTGGAATACTGCTATCATGTCTCCCCTCGTCCTTCTCTTCATTAAACTAGACATACCCAATTCCAGCAGCCTTTCCTTATATGCTTTAGCCTCCAGTCCCCTAATCATCTTTGTTGCTCTTCTCTGTACTCTTTTTCTAGAGTCTCAACATCTTTTTTACATCATGGTGACCAAAACTGGATGCAGTATTCCAAGTGTGGCCTTACCAAGGCATTGTAGAGTGGTACTAATACTTCACGTGATCTTGATGCTATCCCTCTGTTAAGGCAGCCCAGCACTGTGTTGGCCTTTTTGGCAGCTGCAGCACACTGCTGGCTCATATTTAAGTGATTGTCCACTAGGACTCCGAGGTCCCTCTCACAGTTACTACTATTGAGCAAGGTACCCCCTATACTATACCTGTACATTTGTTTTTTCTTGCCTAAATGTAGAACTTTACTTTTTTCACCACTGAATTTCATTTTGTTAGATAGCGCCCAGTGTTCAAGTCTGTCCAGATCCTCCTGTATCCTAAGCTTGTCTTCTGGAGTGTTGGCTATTCCTGCCAGCTTGGTGTTGTCTGCAAATTTGATGATTTCCTCATCTATCCCCTCGTCCAAATCATTGATGAAGATGTTGAAGAGCACTGGGCCCAGAACAGATCCCTGGGGCATCCCACTACACACTTCCCTCCATGTAGATGCGGTTCCATTGAGGACCATACACTGAGTACAGCCAATCAGCCAGCTACGGATCCATTTCATGGAGATAAGGAGACATTATGATAAAATCCTTCCATAATAACATGGGAAAATGAATGAAAATGACAATGAATAGATAGGAATTGAGGAGAATGACAATTGGGATAGCATCAAGATCTGTTTAGAAAAAGTCTATTTGAGATACATGGTTTAAGAATAAGTCTATTCATAAGCACACATAAAAAAGAAGAGTGAATGAGGAAACATAACTGATCTGATTATTTATGATGAAAAACTGAAGGAATTGATTAGGGAAATTCTGTATGATTTAAGGAAAGAAAATTTGGAAGCTGCTTGAAAAAGAAAGAAAAGTATTATGTTATACGTGTCATAAAAGTCTGTGGAGTTATTAATGAAAACATGTAAAAGGATGCTTGGTAGAATGATGATGGGAAACAGGCTGTAAGTGAGGAAAAAGAATTACTGCAAAATAAGGATAAAGAGAGATAATGTCTACAGGAAAAAAAGGTAGTTGAAAAGAATGAAGTCAAAATGATCTCATGTGGCTAAAATTAAAAGAAAAAGAATAATGCTTAATGATTTTGATGGAAACAAATTGCTTGAGTGAGTGACGAGGGTTAAACAAGGAGCCTCCAATATAGTGACCAGAACTAAAAATAAAAGTAATGAGACTATTGAATGAGTGTATAATGGAACAAAGGGAGGAAATGTTGGAAGAAGCATTTCAGAGGTCTGTATGAGAAACTGTGTTCTCTTCAAAAGTAAAAGTAACAAAAGTAAGCACAAGAATTACCTGGGATAATTTTTTAAAGTGGGCCTGCCAGAGTGTCTGACAGAAATTTGACCAAAAAGATGCAAGAAGTAATCATGAACAAAAGTTTGGGGAATGTAGTGTGGTTTTATTGAAGGCAATGAATGAGCGGACCAGGTTCTACTCTTTAGTAAGCCTCTGGGAAGCCTATTCTGCTTTGTTACCAACACAACATAAGCTGGCTCAGGAATGGACAAATCATACTTTGTGGGACCATGATTTTACAAAGCAGATTTTTCACCTCCCCTATTTTTGCAAAATACAGGTATCTTAAATCTCTTATGAGTGCACTCCTTTTGCCCATTAAGTCCTATAAATCCCTCAAAGAACAAAGAACCGGCTGAACATTTTTTTCCCTCCTATTATGGTGGTATACAGTACATTGTATCATTCTGGCCTTCCAAGGCCTAAAAAAATCATACAAATACCCATACAAATTACTCATTGTTGACTTAAATTCCAGTTCAAGAATTGCCATTCTTCCCATTTCATGTAGTTAGAGCAGTGAAGAACAGAGTTGTGAGAATCTCAACCATGCCACTCTGTACCAAGAAGTGAATCCAGGAAAAGGCAGTTGTCTGAGTGCCAATTTCTCATATACAGGAGTACTTTGTATTCTCACATCTTAAAAGTAATACTGATGCCACCCATATGACATACACTTGACACAGCCACACAACACCTACCTTTCTATCCCTTTTGAAAAAGATTTACTGCAATATTCCACCATGTTGTTGAATGAGGGAACAGTATTGCACTGTGTGGTAACTTCTGCACTGCTGTAAGTGTCCAAACCACTATTATTTTCCATTGTCTTTTTCAACATGACCCCACAAGCATGTCCACCAAGATCAGGCACGCTCTGTTGAGATAATTTCAGTTTAAATACCCAGATCTTTAAATGAAGCATTGCCAGAAAAACCAAAATTTGGGCCAACCTTTTTCCTCTTCTGTAAGACATCTGCTGGCAAATAAAAGTGGAGTTGTTTCTTCCTCACATGAGTAGCTTCAATCTTCATGCCTTCTTTCAACATGTTGATATTGTTTGCCTGCCTATAAACTAAGATCAAAGATGACAAAGTCAAGAAGTTATCCAACAACTCAGGCAACTTTTTTTTATTGAAAAGTTTTATAAAAGTTACAATACACACCCCAAAACCCACCCAACCTAACCCCCCCTCCCTCCCCCACTTCCCAGAGCTGAGTACAGGGTAACAAATATAATAATCATACTCTAACTAACATTAACCAACTATTTAAATAACCAAGTCCATAATGTGCTTTAACTCCCCTTTAACATAAAAATAAACAAATTAAAAATAAACATAATAATATAAACAAGTTAATATCCTAATTCTTGAACAATACAATATCCAAATTGTTAAACAATACTAATACTAAAAATAATAATAAAACTAATAAAAATTCCACTATAATAAACTATTAATAATAATAATACTCTAAAATTTACTCATAAAGTAAATGGAACTTTTTAGTCCCATATTTATTCTGAATATAATCTATCCATCTTCTCCAAATCGAAATGTATCTTTCTTTCTTTTTTAATAAAAGTTTTACAAATTTAATACAATAAAACCCAAACCCCTCCCACCCCTTACCCCCTTCCCCCACTTCCCAGAGCTGATTACAGGGTAACAAATAAACAACCATAATCTAACTAACATTACCCGCCTGTACTATCAATCAAACCATAACATACTTTAACTCCTTTTCAAAACAAATATTAACAAATTAAAAACAAAAATAATAATATAATTAAATCATAACACTAAAAATAATATAAATTCAATCATATTAAACTATTAATAATAACCTAAAATCTACTCATAAGCAAGATAATACTTTTCAGTCTCATATTTCTTTTGAATATAATCAATCCATCTTCTCTAGACCGAAATGTATTTTTCTTGTGAATGGTCCTTCGAATAAGCGGAAATTTTCGCCATTTCTGCTAAGTTAGACACCTTAAGTATCCATTCTTCCATAGTAGGCAAAGAGTTTTTCTTCCAATATTGACCCACCCATAATCTTGCAGCTGTTATAAGATTCTGCATCAAATTAATTTCTTTGACATCAAAATCAACCATAATACCCAACAAAAATAACTGCGGAGTAAACTTTATCTTTCTCTTAAAAATCTTTTGAATATTCCACCAAATCTTAATCCAGAAAGGTTTTATATCTCTACAAGTCCACCAAATATGAAAATAGGTTGCATTTAAGCTTCCACATCTCCAACATTTGGGCTGTAAATTAGGATACATGCGGGACAACTTTTGGGGATCCAAATGCCATCTATAAAACATTTTATAAAAATTTTCTCTTAAATTTTGCGCTTAGGTAAATTTTACATTTCTAACCCAAATTGTCTCCCATGTATCCAATAAAATCGGCTCTTGAATATTTTGAGCCCATTTAACCACACAATCTTTAACTAACTCCGTTTCGGAATCTAATTCTATTAAAACATTATAAATTCTCTTTATTTGGGCTCGAGTTTGATCTTTAATCTGTTTTACCAAATTCACATCCTCTAAAGTAATACCAACTTTTTGATCTAAACTCCACCTCACTAACAATTGATTATACTGAAACCAAGAGTGTACAATATTTTCTTGCTTCATACACACAAAAAGAAGAAACTATCTCTTAGAGATAGGCAAAGTCTGTTACATTTTTTAAACTTTGTTGCCAGATGAAAGTGAAAGTCTTTCTTAACAATGTCCTTTCAAACAAAGAAACAGGATTCCTCTGCCATTTTTTCCTCCCTCTTGTTAAAATAATAAATGGAGAAGGTATTAATTCTTCCTTGAGTTAAAGTTACAGATCATCACAATTCTGATCCTCCTGAACAGCTCCGTCTGCTTTTGATTTTACTCACAATTCTCTTAAAGCAGCAGATGTGGAAGCAGTGTCTGGCTTCGTTCCAAACAACAAAGGCGTCCTGGGATGCGAAGATGATCCAGACTCCGAGGGAGCTCTCACTCTTCGTCTCCCCCAAAAAATTTTTGGGGACACTAGAGGAACTCGACCTCTATCTGGAAAGACTCACCTTCTTCCCTTTGCCTGGGAAGAAAGGTTCTAAGCCACAAAACAGCTGATATTCATTGTCTTTGCCGGCTCTTACGCATTCCCAAGATGGGTGGCTAAAGAAAAAGCCGCCATCGGCGCAGCGATCGCCACTGGAAGTCCGAAATGTAATTTTCTTGTGAATGATCCTTCAAATAAGCAGAAATCTTAGCCATTTCTGCTAAATTTGACACTTTAAGCATCCATTCTTCTATAGTAGGCAAACAATCCTTCTTCCAATATTGCCCTACCAATAACCTTGCAACTGTTATCAAATTCAACATCAAATTAGTTTCTTTAGCATCACAATCTACAATAACACCCAATAAAAATAATTGTGGAGTAAACTTTATCTTTCTCCTAAAAATCTTTTGGATGTTCCACCAAATCTTAATCCAAAAAGCTTTTATATTTCTGCAAGTCCACCAGATATGAAAATAAGTAGCATCCAAACTACCACATCTCCAACATTTGGGCTGTAAATTAGCATACAAGACAACTTTTAAGGATCCAGATGCCATCTATAAAACATTTTATAAAAATTTTCTCTTAAATTTTGGGCCTGGGTAAATTTTACATTTCTAACCCAAATTACCTCCCATATATCCAATGGAATCGGTTCTTGAATATTTTGGGCCCATTTTACGATACAATCTTTAACTAAATCCATTTCTGAATCCAATTCTATTAAAGCATTATAAATTCTCTTTATATGCGCTCGGTTTTGATCTTTAATCTGTTTTACCAAATTCTCATCCATTGAAGTAATACCAACCTTTTGATCTAACTTCCACCTAGCCAACAATTGATTATACTGAAACCAAGATTGTATAATATTTTCTTGTTTTAACTCAACTAACGGTTTTAATTGCCAACCATTCCCTATCAATCCTTATAAGAAATCCTATCCAAATTCACACCCATAGATACCCCCTCTATCGTGTGTCCAGGAATCCCCCAGATTGGTATTTTATAATTTAACTTATAATAATACTTCTTCCAGACATGCAATAAAGCACTTAACTTAACTCAGGCAACTTTGATCAGCCTTTAACTTGCTGTTCTGCTGCTGCTGGAACAAACTTCCCAGTCCGTAAAGCAGATATCAGATTGGTTACTACAATATTATTCTATCTTCAGGTAATAAAATGAAGCCATAGAGTTCTGCCACATGATCAGTGAACAGAAATAAAGAAAATTATCTAATCCAGTTTATTTTTGCAATGCATGTGCATTATGAGTCCTGATACCTCAGTTCCTGAAGACTCTTAGGTTGTCTAATGGTCCTGTCTTACTGGTAGATTTAATTTTACAAGCAGGGAACCTAGGGATACAAGCACAATCTTTTTTTCTTCTGGAATGATTCTTAATCTGATTCTTAATCAGTACTATCCTTTCTGAAGTGAAAGCCTAGATAAGTTTTTTCCCCCAGGAGAATTAAGCATCAATCTTCTTTAGTTTATTAGTTTGATCATACAATAAAATACTGAGGCATACTGGACATGTTAACTTTGTCTACATAAGTATCATTATATGGGAGCTAGTGTATTAAAAACTAGATTCTATAACAGATTTCCAGTTTTGACGTCATGGTGAAACGGTTGCAGGAGGACAGGGTTCTGTCTTTCGTGTTTGATTTTGCCATGCTGGGGACTCAGGAGACGGTCGAATGTTGCCCTGTAGAGGCAACAGCAAGTTGGATCCTCACAACAGTGAAAAGCCGCTGATGACGGAAGACAATAAGCACCAACAAGCAACATTACAGCAACATGGATGAAACTGGTTGAGACCTGATCCTGGCTTAATGATTTTAAGACCTCTTCCTGACAAACTGTCCAAAGCACACCCCCAATGAGAGAGGGAACGGGAATTTCTGCCCCATTCCCTCAGGAAAAAAAAAGTGGCGATTTAATTACTTGGGGAAAATGGAGAAAACTACAAGACTAAGTTGGAATTTGTATATATCTATGCCTTGGAAATTTGGGGACTAAAAGTGCTTTTAAGACTTTTTTTTAAAAAAAAGAGACTTGAAAAGTTTGCAATATAAGTTTTGGATTTTAAAAACTGGAAAATGGCATCAATGATATATAGTGGTGAATTACGGCACTACAACTTATTATGCCTAAAAGAAACCTGGCTCGAAGCCCAGACTTAGATAAGGCTCTGGCTGGCCTTGGAACTTTTACTTTGAAGATTGTAGCTGAGAAAAGGAAAAAGGCTTGGGGGGGGTGCTTATCTGTGTAGCAGAGATGATAAACTATTCTAAAATTAGCCTGTCTGAACTATGAACACAAATACTGACTTTCAGAACTGTATTGTGGAACTATTTTCCTGTAGAAGAAATATACACTATTGCCTGATATGATGGAACATTTTGGATTATAAATCTTGATTGATAAACAACTTTTAATGGTTCTTTCATCTCCCTGGACAGAAAGGATATACTTCTCATTGGGCAGAAAAAATTGAATTTTACTTATATTTGCTTAGGGGAATGGATTGATAAGTTGGTTGGATAATCTGGAGCTCCAATGACAACTGAAATTTTCTATATTCTCGAACAGATTTCTATAAAGGCCATTTACAAAAAATAAAAAGGATGTTCCATATTTAGCTTTAAATGGTAAAAAAACATCTTTAACATCTGTCTCCAGAAGCCTCAGTTTGACATACCACCAAGAAAATACTGATTATTCATAGAAAGAAATTCTCTCCATGTTGAAATTAATACAAGAAACAATTGCCTTAGCTCGTGATGAGATTAAAAAGGAGACAAAGAAGATAAAAGAACAATTTTCTAATTTAAATCTACAAACTCAGAAAATAACCACAGAGAAGGAACTAGCAACCCAGAAAATAGAAGGAAAACTAGAGAAAGCTGACCCAAATATGGAGGACCTAAAGGCCAGACTCAGACAAATGAAGAACTAGAAGACACAATGATAATATTGGAAATGGAAAAGACATTTT